TTTTGCTGGTGGGAGTTAAACCACGACACCTGAACAGAAAGGGACAGAAACACTAATCCATTCTTGGGGAGAACAGGCACACGGTACTGGGATTTGTAATGAGCAAACAAGTTCTGAAAAGACCAGAAAAGATTTGATTATAAAACCTTAAGAAAAGGTATTATGTCTTTTAAAAGAAAGAAAAACTGAAAAAGTGCCTCCCTTCCTCCTCCCTTACTACCCTCAATTTTATTAATTATTTGGGAGAAGTTCTGCAATACTAGTAATCTTCCATGAACTCAATAGCAATTTCATGATGTTATAGGAAGCATATGTGCTGTGACTGGGGAGACTCTACAGTTCAAGTAAACTTGCTCCCCTAGCATCTCCCTCTTACCTTTTCTCCTGACCTCTTAAAACAACGTTTTGCTTTGTTCTTGCTTCCTGTTATTCTTGAGCAACTCTACGTTGTTCACATCCGCCCACAATTTCTGGTTGAATATAGGTTTCACAATAGAGTCATTTTGACTTCTTTTTTTCTTTTGTGAATGAGCTTTGATGTATCTGTTTGAGCTTCTCCTGCCATCTGGTACTCTGCACCGAGATCCATGATCCATGCTGTTCACTCCTTACTGGTATTTTCTCTTTCGCATGTGTTCGGCAGGACTTCTAACTGCGTCAGAAATCTACAGAAAGCACATTTGTGGTGGCTTTGAATTCCTCATCCCGGGCTTTGTGTCATTTTGTGCTGGCTTGAAGACGCTCCTGTTGAAGAGCAAACGACTGAAAATGCTCCTTCCTGTAGCTGGCTCATTGCACTACATTCCCACCCTCCTCCTGTTCTGCCATGCATAGGAACCTGGTTTAGGATATAAAACCCACCACATGCGTGAAACAGGATGGAGAGGTTCAGTTGTTTGTCTCCATGAAACCACTGGTGATTATTCCCAGAAACTCATCATTCGCTGAAGTAGAGTTGTTACTACAGAGCTAGAAGATGGGTCCAACTTCAGTAATTTATGTGAAATAGTAAAATCTTTCTTTTTCCCCTGAATTCACACTTGCTGGGGTGCAGGAGAGACTAGTGCATATATTAACAGTGCATCTAAATGTTCAGCATATGCTAAGTATTTTCTCATTGGAAAAGGTCTTGGACTTCACTGGTGGATGGCAGTAATCGTATTTCAGGGCAGAGAAGCTCTACTACCTATTTTCTCTAGATGTGAACCCTTCAACTACTAGGATGTGTACTTTGAGTTTTTATTACAAGGTGGTGTTGTAATAGGATTCCTCCTTCCCCAGGGAGGCTTTTGTATATTCGTACGTTTATATATACACACACACGCCTAGACATTAAAAATGGTTTTGCTGTGGGGGAAGAGGGCACTGAGTCCAAAAAAGCTAGGTTTTATATATTTTATTCATAAAAACAGATTTGCAACAATTTATTAAAAATTGATCTCATGCAGTATAAGGTTATACAAGAAATTCTTCATTTACATTTTATTCTGGCAGTTCCAGTCTAGTTTAAAGCATTTGTGCACTAACATCATTGGAAAATGCCATTGGGGCACAGCCTCTTCATAAATTTACAGTACATTTTTGCTGCAGTATAAAAGAACAGAAACATTAAATAGCTATATTCACTTGGTTGGTCTTGTTATCTGCAGTAAAGTAAAAAAAAAAATGTTATGGGAGAAACTACAGTATCATTGAGACGAAGAATGTACTGCATGGTTTAAACCTAATAAACGTCACACAGTCAGTATTCACAAAGTTACAGACACACACACACACACACACACACTCACGTCCAATGGTCGGATACTTTTGATTTTTTTTTTCCTGCTAAGTTGGAATAATATTTCTACAGAGATCTTTGTGTATACATTATATACAATATTGTCATTTTCTCTTTTTTTTTAAAAATTAACATTCCTTTTAAAATAAACCAGGCCCTGATGATATTAAGAAAGCAAGAGAATACTGTCAACACACATTGAGTGACAACATCAGTGTTTAGTGCTTAAACAGAGTAATGAGTTCTATTTTATCTGTGTTTATACTTACATGTTTTTGTTCTAAAAGCTACAGGTATTTCCATAACCTCTCTTACTGTATGTGCCGAGTGAAATACTTTGTGATGCTCCTGATTGTAAGATTCAGATACATATTCATGTTGGTTTTGGCCACTATGAGGTGTGTTTTATTTTTAATGGAGATTTATGCCAACTTGCCAAAGCTGCGCTTACGTCCCTCAGCTAATGAACCTCTTCAGCTGTGCTTCAGTCATTGCTGATTTATAAACCTTGGTCCTACCAGAGGTTTGGTCTGAGGTGCGCAGGCATTGGTCAAAGAAAACTGAGAGCCTAGTGGGTGCTTCACGTGGGGTTTTTTTTCCCTTCTCTTGGCAAACAGCCCTGGAAGTGAGATGCCACATTTCCAGTCCCTTGAAAAAAAGAAGCTGCCTGTGTATCTCACCTGTGCCTGAGGGTTTGGCTCCAAAGCTGGTCCAGACGGTATGCCACTATCGTTCCTCCTAATTACTTCAGCTCAGGGGATGGAGCTAAACTATGAAAAGCGTTGGATTTTTCCACAGTCCTTTTAGGATTCAGATAAAATATTCTATCGGTAAATTGGATTTGTCCTCTCTATTATCCGCTACAACCGTCACACACGCAGGTACGAAGCAAACATAGTGTATATTCACATCTATGTGCTCTGCAGGCTTTGCCTGCAGCAGCAAAGTGCTGTGCCCTAAGCCCCTCCCCCCAAGTCCACTAAATTAATTTTATTGTAATTATGTGTGACATAATTCAAACAAACTATAAAGAACGATCCGTCCTGTGACATTAAGACTTTACCACCCACCCGTCCTCAGCTTCTTGAGTTATCCGCCCTCGGACCTTTCCAGGCAGTTTAGTACGTTGGGGTTGGTGGTGCGTGTTCTGAAATAGGTGCAGAAACCTGGCTACAATGAAGCTGCAGATGGTCAGCCATCGCTACCACCATCCCTGGAGAAGGCTGGAGCGCTCAGCTCCCAACCAGCAACTCTCCAGCTGGTGACAACTCGGAGCTGGAGCTTCAGCCTCTGCTTGGGCCTCCCGTACAGCTGCACATCGGAGGTGACCCTGCTCACAGCACTGCGGAGTCTCAATGACACCCGAGGAATCATTTCCCACCATCCTCCTTTCCTATCCAACACCGTCCCTGAAATGAAAACAAGCAAGACTAACCAGTGCAGAATGTTTCCAGCAATTTAACATAACTCTTGTAAAAATGAGTGTAGCTATTTCCATAAACATGGTACAGCTCAACCACTGTGTTTTCCTTACATGGATACAGTATAGAATTGCATGTTCTCAGCAGCCACATAAAGCTCAGTGACGTCTGAGCGGTTGGTCTTTTTTCCTAGTGTCTTTTTTGCAAGATCCGTATTTCCCAGCCTCCTTGTTGCCAGTAGAAATTTGGGAAGAAACGTTTTTCAGTGACTTCTACGTGAAGAAATAAAAACTCCATGAATAAGGCTACAGATCAAACTCCTTGTGTCCTTCTCCTTTGCCTTCCCGCACGAGTTACACGGGCACTCCTGTGACGACGGCCTCAGCGGTAGCTCCTCTGCGGTAAGAGCCAACGTTACATGTTTGTAGCAGAGTTCTAGGTCAGATGTTTAGTCCAGTCATTGAGTACTTAAAAGCAGTTCAGGAAGCACCAATCTCCCTTTCCTACAGCCCCGAAACCATTACTCGGAAGGAGGGCGGCACGTGTCTGTGCCGAGGACTGGCGCTGGGGCTTACGCACGGACTGGCGCAGCTAGCGTCGACTCCTCCTATGGACGGCAAGTAGGCGTGATGGAGGATGGGCAGCTGCAAAGACAGCCGACGCTGTATGCTGCGAGAGAGACAGACACAGGAGCGTTAGCCGAGAGGGGAAATGCGAGACATTACACGCTTGAAATGTGGCCGCGAGGGTATTCTCTGTGCCCGCTGCTGTGACAGAGAGGGTTAACGCCGAGAGCACCACGCCCGTTGCCGTTGGGCTATGCCACCACCCGGTTATTTCCCCTTGGGGAATTTTCCTGAGGGGCTAGACTCAACAAACCAATCTGAGGGTGCATTCTCAGCATCCCACAACTCTCTGAAATTCCCAGGCGCTTTCAGAGCAATTGTTAGACTGCTGATAAGGGAAGAAGCTAAGCGTGCAATGGGGGAATCAGGCTTAGCAACCCCCCAGCCCCTCGCAAAGCGATCTGTCGGCACAGACGCGCCGCGGTCACGGGCAGAGTTTTAACCCGCGCATCACTTAGCACAAGGAGCTCAGAATTAAGGGTGGCATTTCTGCAACCCCAGCTCAGGCAAACACAGGTGTGTGGAGGGAGGGGATGCGGACTGATGGCTTTTTCCAAGCGGCTCCTCTTTGCGGTTTAGGTTTGTGCTTTTGAGGTGCCGGATGTTCTCGAGTTCCCGCAGTCAGTGCTGCGGGACTGAGGAGCTGGCACTCTAAACGCGGTCTAACCTACCACCCGCACCACAGTGCAGTATTCACGAACCCAGCACTCCGTAGCCAATTTTCCAAGACTGACATAGAATCATAGAATCACTGGGTTGGAAAAGACCTTAGAGATCATCCAGTCCAACCGTATCTGTCCACCACTAAACCATATCTCTCAGCACCTCATCCACCCGTCTCTTAAACACATCCAGGGATGGTGACTCCACCACCTCCCTGGGCAGCCTGTTCCAGTGTGTGATAACCCTTTCGGTGAAGAACTACTTCCTTACGTCCAATCTAAACCTCCCCTGGCGCCGCTTGAGACCATTCCCCCTCGTCCGATCATCTGACATCATGGTAACTGATAGGGCTTTGTTTGGTTTTGTTTTTGGAAGGGATGCTAAGCTGTGCTCACAGACAGCCCCACTAACCCCTCTCCGTGGAGAGAACGGTGCCAGGAGGCAAGGGCTCTTCTACCCCTCTGCTGTGGATATTCTAGCACCTTTCACAAAATCAGAATCCAGTTGAGGTTTGTTAGTGCAAGGGATGTTTTCAGTGACGAAGATATTACCATACCAGGATCGCTTCAGCGTTTGGAGACTTTCAGTCTTGAAACACAGAAGGATTTTTTTTAAAGAGAAGACAGATGTTAAAGTGACAGAGCCGAACCGAAGACTGGCTTTGTGATTCCAGAAGAAAAATGCCCATACAAAGCATTGTATCAGCACAATGGAGTTTTAAATTTATATTTCCCCATTATCTAATACAATGGCTGTGTATAGACAGGCCCTTACAAGAAGTGTGTTTGAAAGCTTGCCTTTGGATAGCCTTTCTAATTCAAATGACATTCCATTTCATTTTTCCTTTGTGCTAGGAAGCGGAGACAGCTACCAAGGCATCCATTGCACTGCCTGGGGACCAAGCAGTATATATAGCTTTCACACAGAAAGAAATAGAATGCTGCTTCTCTTTAATTTCTTCACTGCAAACTAAGGCTTGTTTACACAGAAATGTGGTGCAAATAGCTGTCTGCCTAGCTGAGAAGATATTTCTCATTTTTTCCCCCCTTGCACAAAGTCCCTTTAAAAGTTTGATGCAATATTAATCCACAGTGTTGATCATTGCGGTGCTGGCAATGCATCCCTGGGATTTAACAAAATCCATTCATTGTTATTTTGCTGCTGTGCCCGAGTCTTTCTGGTGGTATCAATGAAATCATGCCTTGTTCCCAAGGAGTGCAGAGGTGGCACGGCCCGCTGCTTCCATGTGCTGAATCCTTATGAGCCTGACACTGCAGACTGTCATTCTGTCTCTCGTTGCAGGGTCAAACGCAGAACTGCCCGCGCTTATTTTCCCACCAGTGGAAATGCCTACTTTGTTCAGCTGTTACAGGCTTCTCATTAAAGGGCTTTTTGATACTCTTCTAAGGGAATCCAGTTGCATAATCAAGTGAATGGGATTTTTTTTTCACCCATTTAAGTGTTAGCCATACCATGGACAAAGCATGTCCGTTTGGCTATGCCAACGGGAGCTGCAGTGGGTGGCAAATTTTGCTTTAACTGCACTTAAAGTTTACTTTCACTTGAAAACTTGGTTCCTGGAATTGTGGCGGAGGACTGTAGCCTGGAGACTCCCACACAATTGAGAGTTTAGGCAAAATTCTTAGGGGGGAAAACAAAACAAAATAAAGAAAGTAACAAAATCCAAACAAAACTGCTATTTTCTCCTTATGTGAAAGTAGATCTTGGACCTTGCCTCACTGTGTGGGTTTTTTCCACTCCAATATCAGTGCTTTTCCCCCTCCTCCACCCCGGCTGCATTTTATCAATGCTTTTTGAGACGGTTGCATACAATTTGTTTCCCGTGTCCATAAAACATAGATATGCCAAATCATAGGGTCAAGTATGTTGGGGAGGGAACAGTTAGAAATAGTGCTTTTCTACAACCGCTGAAGAGGATGGAAAGGAAAGGTGGTGCCACACACAGAGCAGTCATCAGGGTGCTGTGTTAGCCTAGGGCATGTACCCTCAGCTCTGTACAGAAGAGCCATTTATTAAGGATAAATAAAATCGAGTAAAAGCTTGACTTCCAATGTCAGCGCACATCGGAACGCAATGTACTTGCACATGGGAATGCAGGATTCTGCAAGGGGGGCAGAGGCATTTGAAAAATAATTTGGTTTTCTGGTATACAAAACCACTGAAGAGATCCATCGGCAACGGGGGGACTGGAAAAACCACACCTACAGTCAAATATCTAAAGATCTGCGGTAGCTTGTAAACTGTGACTAGACATTCAGGGATCGTTTCAATTGATTCTTCAGCCCATTAATGTTGATTTTTAGCAAATGCTGGGAAGCTGGAGAAGTTTAAAAGACTAATAAAGCAAGATGTTGTGCTAGCAAGTAAACTAACCATTCTAAATCCACCTTATTTTGACAACAGATTTGAATAGGGTCATAGACAGACTAATACAAACCACTGCCAGTGAAGAAACTGAATAAAGGAGGCATGTTCATGCCAAGGCATATGGCTGCAACACAAGAATCCAGCCATAACCAACTTTTTTTGAAGAGAATTTTTAGTTACGAGAACTGACATAACTGGCTGCAGCAAGGTGTTTGACTGTCTTTTAAATGCTCCTAAAAGCAGAGCTTTAGCTCAAAAAATATTAAGGTAGTTTCTACTGCAAGGGTTACGCAGCAGCTGGCTGCTTTGAAGGTTACAAAAATACCACATATAGGAAATAGTCTACCAAAATGGCAGGTTTTGGTGAAGTCCTGCAGAAATCTATCATCACCTTTACTCAGAGATCCGGAAGATTCTTACATACTGTTGCTGTTAAAATAAGAACAGTATAAATTTTATTGGTGCCAAAAACTAATTCGCCGAATGTAGGTCACTGATGAGATCAGACGCATGCAGACATGAAGGTGCACAGTAGAATCATAGAATGATTCTACTGCATAATCATAGAATCATAGAATCATAGAATGGTTTGGGTTGGAAGGGACCTTAAAGACCATCTAGTTCCAACCCCCTTGCCATGGGCAGGGACACCTTCCACTAGACCAGGTTGCTCAAAGCCTCATCCAGCCTGGCCTTGAACACTTCCAGGGATGGGGCATCCACAGCTTCTCTGGGCAACCTGTTCCAGTGCCTCACCACCCTCTCTGTGAAGAATTTCTTCCTGATATCTAATCTAACCCTCCCCGCTTTCAATTTAAACCCGTTCCCCCTTGTCCTGTCACTACAGGCCCTTGTAAAAAGTCCCCCCCAGCTTCCTTGTAGCCCCTTCAGGTACTGGAAAGCTGCAATAAGGTCTCCCCGGAGCCTTCTCTTCTCCAGGCTGAACAAGCCCAGTTCTCGCAGCCTTTCGTCATAGCAGAGGTGCTCCAGCCCTCTGAGCATCTTCGTGGCCTCCTCTGGACTTGCTCCAAACAGCTGATACCCTTCTTACGTTGGGGGCTCCAGACTTCTCGTCAGCAGCTCATCAGCAGCTCACTCTTCCTGTTTTTGGGGGGGAGGGGAGGCGGGGGGAGGGG